AGGGCAACTTATATCAGTGCGCCCACTACTGTATAGATGTCTACTATGGACACAGACTGAACACACACCACCACTACTCCTGTAAGTCAGAAATAAACATGGGCTGGGTAGAGGAGAAGGTTAGGGGGAGAAATATGTGAGAGTAGAAGAAAAAAGGAGGGAATAACAGTGCACTGAGGAAGCTAGGCTGTGGAGAGATGGAGTGGCATTATATTGAAAAAGGCAAGAGATTGAGTGTGTTTTTGTGTTTGTATATGTCTGTCAGTTCAACCTGCAGCCAAGTTTCAAAAATAAAATACAGTTAAAGCAGACCCCTAGCATGAACAGTATAATAATGACCCCCCTTTGTCTGGGACCTGAACACAAAAGAACCTTTTTTACATGTCTAACCAGAGCAGATGGCACTGGTGTATTGTGCAGGGTGTGTGTGTGTGCATGTGTGTATGTATGTGTGGCGAACGGGGGTGGAGGGGGCAGGTGTTGGATTGAATGTGTAGATGTATATCAAACAGAAAAAAGCACAGAGACACAGCAGCTCCATTTGTCTGCCAGGATGTCTTTGTCTCTACATGATAAACATCTAGTCCAAACACACCTTGGCCCTTACAAATGAGCAACAGCAGCATGCTGTGTAAAGTAGACACAAAGTAGCAACAGTCCACTCGTGTCCGTTGGAGGAGTCACTGACATCTTTTATTGTTATATTGCTTTCCCCTCCTGGATGTGAGTACTGTTTAAATAATATTGCCAAGAATACTGTCACTCTGTGGATAGGATGAGAGATGAAGACTGATGATGAAGTAGTGAGAAAGAGACTGATGGAGCTGGGAAACATGGGACAACATGTAGCACTTCAGAGGTGTCCCATTTACTAGAGAGAGAATAGAGACACAGAACCACTGGAAATCAGTGGAGAGACAAATATCCTCCAAGGAGGGGATACTTAAAACAAAAGGATGAAAGCAATAAAGGAACAGCAACATGGAGTTTGATAAAAGAAGAAATGAGATATAATAACAGCAGGGGCCAGAGAGAGAGAGGAGTTGGCGAGTGAGGAGAAAAACACACTATATTTCTGCAAAGACATCCTCCTCTTTACATTTGACTTGTCCTATGGGGTGGCTGTGGCCTGAATGTGTCAAATGATCAATGCTATCACAGCCAGATTCCTACTAAAACTACCTTATGTAATACATTGTTCAATAAAGTGTGTGTCTCCCTTGATTTTTACCTGAGCACCCTCAGCGAATCTCATTCTGAGCCCACCTACTGCACAAGCCTTGTACATCCTAATCAGCCAAGCAGACCATAATAGGTTCAGCAGCTGCCTCGCGACGAAATCTGTTTGGCTAAGTTCCACCGAGAGGCAAGGAGATTATGCGGAGTCAGGAGAATCACTGCACACTGTTGGGACAGGAGGGACTACACACAAAATGCTGTGATGCTTCTCTCAACTCACCCCACGGCTAAACAGACACAGCAGATATCCTTTACAGTAAACATGCTAAATGATGGCCCGCAAACAACTGTGAAAACTGAAGACATGCAAGCATACAATGCACGCACACAACAATAACACGTTAAAACCGTTCTGCCTGGAGATGAAACAAACAGCGTTACCTCATTAGCTCGGTGTCAAACTGTATCAGTAAATAGACTGCAGTGTTTTCACTGATTCACCAGATTATCACTTTAAGCGTGGACAGCTTGCCATCGGAGCTTGAATGAAAACAAATAATGCATAAATATATCACATTTGCATCTAATTCTATGCAGCTATATCTTTTTCTGACATTAAACATTGTCATTGTCTTGCCCTCTCTCTCTCTCTTTCTCACCAGGTTGTTTCCAGCTATGTAATGTCTTTCGTCAGAACATGGAGATAGACCAGTGTCTGCTGGAGTCTCTCCCCTTTGGCCAGCGCCAGCGGCTGGTCAGGAGGATGCGCTGTGACCAAATAAGGGCGTACTACGAGAGGGAAAAGAGCCTTCAGCGCCAGCAAGGTGGTATCAAGGTTCGAGTTCCGCCCGCCCACCGCAAGAAGCACCATGTCCGCTTCGGCCTCGCCGATGTCCTTCAGGATGCCATCATTCGCCATGACGACAAAGAAGGTGTGTATGTGGGTGCACGTATGAGGGTGTGTGTCATGGCAGTAGTGTGTGTGAATGTGTACACGGTAAACTTACGAGGGAGAGGACTGGCTACTAGATTTGCAGTGGCTCACTTATTATATTGACCTATCACACACACACACACACACACACGCCTATACGCACACACACACAGCCGGCCAAAACAGTGCTGCTGTCTGCGATTACACGTTCTGCTGGAAGCTGTCCACTTGACTGAGTGAGAAGAACAGAGTGAAGCTTTTATCCTGATACAAACAGCTCTCAAGGACAAAAATACCTTAGCTAAGAAGATAATATCTGCTGCTGAGAGCAAACAGTAATTCCACAGAATGGCAGTGACTTTTTGTTGGACTATGTACACCTGCACTGTTCAGTGTCAGCGGCAAGGGGGTTTGAAATATTCTTTAAAGATAAAATGACAACAAAACAAAAAGTAACGTGAGAACATTTGACGCAGATTATTTTCTGTAACGCAACAGTGAATAGCAGCCGGTTCGTAAGATTGATATTACGTCTGTTTGAACCATTCAGCCATTGGTTTCAAACAAATGGGAGCTTGCTAATACTTAATGCACTTTAATGATTTTGTTTTCTATAAATACAGATGACACTGAAGCACTGGAGCATTTAAAAATAATTAAAAAGATTGCTTATTACTCTGGAATGGCTGTTATTTTAACTGCTTTTAGTAAACATCTAGTGTGCATTTCTGTCTGTGAGCTTTTTTCAGGTACACAGTAAATCATGTCTGGCCTCGGTCGAAGCAGGACTGCAGCCTGCCTGGCTCCTGGCAAAGACACATGCAAGTACTCAGGCTGCTCTTTAGATCAGATGGTCAATGAACTCATAAGGTCCAAGAGGTCCTCACACTTTACTGTAAAGTGCATTGAGTTTTCTTTTGTCCAACCTCACCATCTTTCTTTTTGTCTGTGGCAGGCATTTGCCAGTCCTTTACCCAGCTGTCTGGGTGTATCTGTGTCAGTCCTACAAGCAGTCTTTGCAGGTCACTGTGTTAATCTTTGCTCTCTGGCTGCCAATGAGGTTCAGCTGGGGTCTGTGGGAGCAGCTGGTGTGCTATTGCAAACAGCCAGACTGAAACCAGGGTTCCTTGGCTTGGCATGAATCAGATCTGCAACCCCTCGGCCTAATGCTTACCTACCACCCAGCACCACTATGGCGCTGAACTGGTCCCAGGCTACCTTTTGTTTGGCCTCCTGACCTTCTGGTGGTGTTAAAGGCAAGAACTGGACCTGGATCAAAGAAAACAGTAGACCCAACGTGCAGCAGTCCCAGCATGAGGGACAGATTCACTACTAACAGTAACTCTTCTGTTACTCTGTGTTGGCCCGTCTTGCTCTTCTGTCCGTAGTGCAGCGTGTATCTCTTTGATGTAGCACTTGGCTGGGCGGATCAGCACTAGCTCCATTTTGACAATGGTTCTCGAGCTTTCCTCGCTGGTGTTGGTGAGCTGAGTGATAATAGTTTTTGTCACCGTTCCTGCTTGAGTTAACTCTATTCTCCTTTTGTACAGAGTAATAAGATTTGCCCCAGGCTTGGGCTTTTCCCAAAGTAATGTGAGAACATTTCTGGATCGTTCCCCTTACTGCAGAATTACTTTAAGAGATAAGGGATTGTGTAAACATAGTTGTTGCAATGAGAGCCTAGGGGTTTATCTAGTGGATAGGGGTAAAAGAATAAGGGATTTGCATTTGACTCATTGACAATGCCAAGATAACCCAGTCTAGAAAGCAGACTACAACAGAAATATCAAACAGGACATGTGGGGGCTGATTTTCTCTTGTATGTAAGTATTTCATCACATCTGTATCAGATAAGCCTACCAGAAAATGTTTATGCTCTCAGTTTTTTAAGGGATCCACGAGATGAAGGTTGAACTGTGAAATGAGACTGAGAGACTGTGTCGAACTAGAAATTCACGCCTGTTAACTGATAGACAATGAGATCTTTAACATTGCTGTCATGTTGATTGAACCATGTTTCAACTTGATTAGTTTTCAATTTTCAGTGCCGTGTCCCCCAGATGGTGGTGATTAATGAAAAAACTGATTGTAAAGACGTTTTGGTGACTTATCATTGTTTTTAAATTCTTGTGACTCTGCAAAAGAGAAGTAGAAAGATTAGCCAAATAAGAGTCTGAGAGGAAATGGCAAAAGAAACACAGAGACTGACTAGAATGAGAGCTAGACAGAGAGATTAGCTGAACCCTTGTTATATCCTAATTAAAAACTGGGTTTAGTGAGCTGACTTGAGAATTACATTCATAGCTGTTGGATGTTCGTAGAGATATATATGATCAGCAGAAACTCAGTCTGCTGACAAGGCAGCCTGGTAATCAGAGATATCTCACACACAGAGTCACGCAAGGATTTATTTTCTTATCGGTTGTCTTGTACAGGAAACAAGATGAAGGACAATGAGAGAAAGCTGGGTGGAGAAAAGGTAAATGGGTGAAAATGGAAAATTGTAAAGCAAAAGAAATTGAAAGGCAGCAGGAAAGAAGCATCACGTTAGGGAGGATATTGTAGGGTTAGGGTGAAACAAATACCAATAGCACACAGCCCTTAGATAGGAGCTATACTATACCTCATCTCCATTCTCCATTCCCATCTGTCATATGCAAACATATTGCCCTCTTGCATTTTGACATTTGGCGAAATTGCTTTTCCCAAACCAATCTCTTAACTTCATCAAAGCAAGACACAAGTGGAACGGCAGCAGCTGTTGCCCTTGTAGCCATAGAATCAATTTTTATCATGTCTTCCCCTTTCAACAGAATAATGACATTAAAGATGACATTTTATTGTCTGTGGTTCTTACTGAGATGATGATTCCTGGCAAAACACAATGTGAGAAATCAGAATCAGAGTTAATGTAAATCATTTATAAAGAAAGGTGACGTTAAGGTGACTTTTTATTTGAGAAGAAGAGTTTTTCTAAGTCATCTGATGGTAATGAAACTTCAGTTAAGAGTCTAACATTACATAATCCTGGAATTACTAGTGATGCTACCTGTATGTATATATGCATTTACACAGCCTGGATAATCATGAAAGACATTCAGGGTCCCCAAAACAATAAGTCTTTGTTGGTCTCCTGACTTTTTATCTTGACTTATTAACAGTCCTCAGGTCCGACGTCATTTTTTCCCTCACTGGCATTTGAGATCACGTCATCTCATCTCCCACCGACAAATACTCTGCTTTAATAGGCTAGTGCTTTTCCCCTGTGCCTATGTTGGTTGCGTGTCATGTGTGACTGCATGTGTTTATGCGTTAAGAAGTTGACATATCCTGTTCCTTTATTATACATAAGGTACATTTACTGTATGTGTGACTGCACCTACACAAACAGTTGTTTGACTAGTAGCCACCCACCATTATTGATCAGTGTGTATAGATCCATCCTGTACGCACAGCACAGGGACTCACAGACTCCAATCAGTTCTCCATAGTGAGCAGAGGTAACAGTAATAGCTTTTGGTCTTGGTTTTTTTAAAGCACTGCTGTGTGCCAGTGTTATACAATGTTTAGCCATTTGTGTTGACACAGTCCCCACCTTCAGATCAGTGCAGCAAAGCGTCTTAACAACAGAGCAGCCAGTTTTAACAGGCTTTTTTTCCTGTTGGATCTAACTAATAAATACTTCTTAACTCAGTAGAATTCTGCGACAAGGTGGCCTTGCTGCTAATAGTCCTTGTTAGTCCTCAATGCTCAATACTTAAATGATTATAAATAATCAAAATTTCATTTATCGAATTCTAGTGTGTAGATGTGTGATGCAGATTAAGGTGTATATGCTATATGCTGTATATTTCTCTATATTTTGTTATACAGTATGTTTGTATTATTCTAGACACCTGTTGTAATTGTAAGTGATGTACTGGACGGCACCACAGCTGAAGATGAAAATCAATGTACCACTCATAGTAGTAGTGATGTCCTGTACTGCAGTGGGAACTCCAAGACATTTAGCTGTCTTTTATTTATCAGTCAGCTTGCCATCACCACCTCACATCGATCCAAAACTCAGATGTCCTGTTCAGTGGAGAAAACATGTCGCTGCCAGTCGCTTTCCTAGATGATAAAACACAAACCGGAGAAGTGGAGGAATATGCGAATATGAATTTTAGAGGAATACATTGATATTACTCTGCAACAGAGCATGCTGGGATTATAGGCATGTCAAACACCTGTCATGTTTTTGACAGAACGGGGCCTGCGCCCACAGAGTGCAGAACGATGCCAAGATATCTTTTACTGAAATTCAATTTAAAACCTTATGACTCTCTCTGATACAGCAGGGATCCTTTTAATGTCAACTGCATCATCGAGCAGCATATTGAAACTTTTCACTGGCAGTGTTGTTTATCTGAGCCTCTATTATTAAACCTTTGGTTCACTTGATGATGCATCATTTTTCCTTAAGAGATTTGGCAGTACAGGTTAATATGAGAGGCAGGAAATGATATAAAAAAGTACTTTGCGTGAATTCATTTTCTCACCGATGTCTTTACTGCTGAGCTTGAAGTTGAAATGTTTTCCTCCTATGTTTGAGTATTTCAATTAACATTAAAACCAAGAGGGAAGCAGAGAAGTGTGTAATGGCATCTTTTTCCCAAATACGGTCAGCACAGACAGTGGATTAAAACACATTCACTTATTTTCAATCTCTGGAGTGTTTTCCTTCTTCTTCTTCATCCTAGTTGTTTTGCTGGATTTCCTGAGGAGATTTCACAAGTACTTATTAACAAAAAAAGAGGAAGCGTGTCCAACAATGAGATATCCACTAGGTTACACAACGATTGCTAGTCTGAGAGGAACACTACAGCTACAGTACTACAATACGATGCACATTACACAATATACTACAATACTGGTAATGGTAAAAAGGTGACTCATTCAGTACAAATGGTTTTGTTTTTGGAGGACATAATTAGCATATCATTGTGCAAAAGAATATATATATATATATATATTTTTAAATTTTATTTTATGAGTAATTTTTCTTAATCATGGAGACTATTAACACGGTGGCGTGAGTTAATATTTCTAGAAGGGTTTGTGCTGATGAAATGCTTTGGCCAATGTTATTTTGCATAATGCATAAACACACTAGTGTGTTTGCTGTAAATGCATGGCATTGTTTAAGAGTCTTTTACCACCTGAAATCCATAAAGCCATCTAATTTCTGAACATGTTAGCAGGAGATGCCTGTTCCATCTTACAGAACTCATCATACAACAATCTGCATTTAGAGTTAAACATTATTGGAAAACTGTACAGTACCTTTTTTTCATCAGGATCGAAACGAAGAACAAATGTCAAAGCTCATTTCAGAAACATGGGGCAGCGAGGTGAGACAGTGCCTCTGGTGACTATGACTGTGTGATAAGGACCAAAGAGGCAGAAGCACTTAAAATGGTGGGGGATTTGAACAGAATCTCATATGGGGCTGCCAAGGAATGATGCTGTACATGGAGAAAATATGTCTGGTGTCTACATGAAGAAAATTGGCAATACTGCTGTAAGTAGCACATTATGGAGGATGCATTACAGGGATTTGATCCAATGCATGGAATATCACAGTCCAATAAGATAAGGAATAGCCAAAGAATCAAAAGGAGAGTTTGAAGAAAAGTACTTTTAATCTTTTTAATCTCTAAAAGCATATCTAAATGCCCTTTTCAGGAGGAAAGTTTTAGGAGAAGTGCTAATGTTTTTTTTTAAAACGTCAAGTGTACTTGTAATTTTCTGTGTAGGCAAGAGATCCTGAAGAGCTCTATTCAGGTCTTACATAAACACAACGACAGGTTAAGGACAGAAACTCTGTCAGTCTGAATTACAGCACAGATTTCGAGGCGAGCAGGTCTGAGAAGACTAATTAACTTTTTGTGCATGCTTTTAGCTGTACTTTCTGACACGTGTTGATCAATCTGACCTTATTTGGGCTTTCCTCTTATTGTCTTGTGCTAATCTGAACGTACTACCACTACTAATAAATAGGTATATTGGGAGACCTTTCAGTGTTGCTACTGTAATGTATGTGTACAGGTGATCAAACTGACCTTCTGTAGGCCTCCCTCTCGTCCTCTCTTCCCCCCTCTCTCTCTCTTCCACTCTGTTCCTATCTGGTTGCCATGGAAACTCCAAATATGTCTTGAACAGCTGTTTTTTTCGATTTTCCACAAAATGACAGCCGACTTTGCTTCGTGCCCACTCTTTATTTCCCAATCAGAAGTGTCCTGATAGAGGGGTAACACACACACACACACACTCCACCAACTGACATGTAAAGATTTAATATAGTCAGAAAATTACTGTTGTTGCTGTGGGACAAGCATATACGTAGCTGTTCTACTGAATGATCAGTATTATATGATATGTTCTTGGGTAATGTTTAGGGCTGCACGATATGGGAAAAAAAAATCATATTACAATATAATTTAGGATTAATGGGAATGATACGTTGTAGGGTCTGTACCAAACAAAACATTTTTTCTGACATCTGGAGAACAAGATTTGTAGGCCAGGGCATCTCTGCACCACTACAGTAAATTATTATAATGCTGTTTGTCACATGTTTGACCATTATCAAATAATTGCAGCTTCTGCAATTTGGAAATTGCACTTGACCAATTTTCGATATTATTTTGATTAACTGTGCAGCCCTGGTAATGTTACTTTTTCTAGTTTACCACTGAATAAAATAAAACTACTTTATGATTTTAAATATAGAAATGCCACTGCAGCCTATTCTTGCTTTATAGTATTTATCAGCACAACTGGATTTCATCAGAACGCCACCTGGTCTCCCTCTCACACCTTGTGTGCTGTTATTGGGTGGGGGATACACAACCACTGCTCAAATGTTGTTGCTCCGAAACTTCCCAAACACAATAAGCTACACACTTCTAGTGGGTCATAAGTAATGATTGAGAGGGATTCTTTTTGCAGTCTATACATTATTTTTAAGGCAAATCCTACTCACTCTGCCGTGAAGCCAATCAGATTGGTGTTCATTGCCAGCTGTTTTGAGCTTTAACACAGGAAAGTCATTTTTATCCATTCTAATATTGGCTTGACATATGGTTTTCTCCAGATAGACACAGTGGATATGTGGGCTTCACACACAGACTAGAACTGTGGTTGGTGTTGACCAATCTGTCAATTGTACAACAGTACTATTGATTCGTAATGGCTGTATTAATAGACAAACACTTTGATTTTTTTCTTTAACTGCCTAAGGGTCAATATGTACCTCTTGACCTTTGACCTCTCTTTAGGCACATTCAATAATGTGCCATAAAACTCTGGTAACTCTGCTCTAACAGATACTGTCCTGAGCACTGACACTCTCCAAGCATGATGTATTTTTGATCATAAGCAGCCCTGGGATCTGCTGTTTGATAGACAGGGAAGCAAGAGCATTATCTATTCCCTTGTAACGACTTTAGCTCTTAATGAGCATTAATTGGTGGTTTACAGTCTTGAGCCCCAACAGTATGTTGAAGAGATGGAAGATAATTGTGCTGATTGACTCTATGGTTGTTTCTCATCAACCATTTAAAGCCCATTAAGCAGTAAAGGCCACGTGAAGAGTGAAAATGTCTGTGTACAGTATGTGTTTTGTATGTGTGTCTCTGAAATGATTAGTCAACTGACATCAAATGTGCTGACGACAGTATTGATAACTGATAAATATGTAAGTTATTTCTCAAATAAAAATACCAAACATTTGCTGGTTACAGCTTCTTATATGTGACACTATGATGCAACAAACACAAGTATATAACTGTATAATATAGTGTGTAGCTATGGGGGTTTGGAAATGCATGCACGGATATTCAGATTAGCACAAGATAATTAACCTGCATGTACTGTTTTACAACATGCTTTCTGTATGTGTATGGGGCTGTGTGTACGTTGGATGATGTTATTTAAGCATGCCTCTCTATATAATGACCCTTTTAAGTGAAATGACCTCATGGGGGTCATAAACAGGGTTCTTTAGTTGGAATTATCACCACTGTAATTACCATGGTAACTGTCCTCAGAGTGTCCCTATTGGTTTAAAGACTATCGTGTAGTAGTAGCTGTAGCTGTAGCAGCAGTAGTAGTAGAAGTAGTAGTAGTGTGATTGCGTGACAGTGGTAGCTGTTCTGCTGGTATAAAGTCTTCCAGGGTCAAGTCAGTGTCCATCTACTGCTGTCAGTATCGGTGAAATCACGTATGTCCAAACCACAGCCCTTGCCCTCTCTTGTTTGTCCATCCTGTTCTATTTATCGGTCACACACTCCAGTACTCTCTCACTCCCATCTCTCTCGCTCTCATGTTGAATAAAAGATGATCCGTGGTATAGTAAAATCACTGTGACCTTGTTTGACTACTACTGTCTGCTCATTTGTTTATGGCTGACTGCGTGAACTTGTTTGCAGTGGTTTGTGTTTACTTATGTGGATCTGTGTCAGTGTGTGAGTGAGGCTCTGTGGCACACACACACACACTGATGTGTCAAGGACAGTCAGAGGACACTTGACACATATTGGGTTTAATAGCGAGTGGCAGAGATCTGTGTGTGTTGTATGTGTCTTCTGCACATGCCCTAAGCGCCCTGTCTGTCTTCACATACAGCAAGTGTTAACGTGTGGATGTTGTGTTGTGTTGCAGTGCTGCGTCTCCTGAAGGATGGAGCAGACCCCAATACTCCCATTTCTTCTGGGGGATCCTTACTACACTTGGTAAGATATATGTATATATAAATATATACATATATATGCACACATAGTTTTTTGACTCTTATCTTATACTGGCCCTGCATGCAGCCCTTCAGTTCATCCTCTGTATGAAACCAGCCGTCTCTTTTAGTTATGTTACAAACTGACACCTGGTGTAGATCCTTATATCAGCAGTGCCTACCTACCCGTTTAGTTTTTGTTCTGTTCTGATTTACGTCTGTACTCATGTTTTCAGTCCTCCATTACTGTTGTATGTTATGAGTAATATTATTAAAAACCACAATACATTACACTGGAAATTTTTAATTAAGAAAATGTTGTTGCAAAAATTTCTGGGCTGATTTAAGATGATAATCATTACATTTAAGAAAGTAGCCCTCATGTGTTGATGTGTCAAACAAAATAACTTGAAGGTGTGCATATTATGCTACAATTGACTAAGAAATATCAGGAAGAAATAGGTGTTGTTCTCTGACATAATGGTTTCCCAAAACCTTTCTCCATGCCTTTATCATTAGCTTTTTGCAACTTCCTGTACATAAGTTACCCCTGTGGTAATACAACAACCTAATAATTGCTTCAGAAAATCTACATTTCTGCAAACTGATAATAAGGAAACCTACTGTCCTTGCATTCTGCAGTGTGCTCGTCACGACAATGTATTTGCGGCGGAACTTCTGATTGAGCGAGGCCTGAATGTCAACCTGCAGGACGAAGACCTGTGGACAGCCCTGCATGTAGCATGTGTGTGTGACCATGCAGATGTAGTGCTGCTGCTGCTACTGGTAAGAAACACACATGCAAACATGAACATGCAGCTTATTTTGTGGTAGTGACTATTTTATACAGTGCCAAAAATACACACACACACACAAACACATACATTTTGGCTCTAGTTTTAGTAATTTTCCTGTTGATCCTTGCAATTCCAAGCATGTCAGCTACAAATTAGATTAGTGTTTTGGAATGGGTCAGCATACTAGCTCCATGTTTCGCATTAGCTTTGAACCAGTGGCTGTATTCATGTTAGTCATCCAGAATTTTCTCAGCAAGTGGAGCGTCTTCTGTTGATGAGGGGTTTTGGATTATCAAGGGTCTATAACACGACTTTCCAATCTCTCAAAAACCCAGCTAAAGAATATTTAGAAATTGGGCATTAGCATGATATCAAAGAGAGAGCCTGTTCCGTGGAGGATGTTTCCAGCTCTTGTCGGGTCTGTCTCGTGAAGAGCTGTGGTTGTACTGATTAGGTCCATAACGAGAGATGGGCCAGCTGCAGGGGAGGGCATGCACATCCAGCCCATTCACTCAATGGGCTGGGTCTGTTCGGCTGGTGTTGATTAGACCCGGGGAGGGTTAACTGCAGTCTGGAGCTCAGTGGCATCCGGTACAGCCTGGTTCTGCTGATTGGGCCCGGAGTGATTGCTGACTGTCTTGTGTGTGGGGCAGGAAAGAGATGTTCCTGAGAGGGATGGATATGTTTGAAGATCTGCCAGGCAGAGGGTGTGCAGAGTGGATCTGTCAGCCTGTAGTGACTGTATGACGGTTGGTTCATGTGTATGTTGAGTGTTTGTGTATTTGCATGTGTTTAATGCCCCTCAAGGCAGAGATTCATGCAGGCAGCCTAGTTTGCAGAGTAGGGTGTGATATAGATATGCCACACGCAATTTATGCAATGAGTTATGCTTTCATGATAGGCAATACCATGAAAGAGAGCGAAAGAGAGATTTAATACTGCTCACTGGGGGGCAATAGCTAAATGTCTCCCATTCACTACTAAGACAGAACTTGTTTCCAGTAAATGAGGTCATTCTTACACAGAACTCAGCCATCTTGGAAGAGAACATTGTCTAAGAAAGAAGAACATTAACAACTTAAAGAAAATCTGATTTCAAACATTTGTCCATGTCCTTTGGTGCTAAGTGCTTATTTATTTGACTGTATTTTCTCACATGCCCTTGTGCATCCTTGTGTGACGGTTTGTGACTGTGAGAAGACTAGCCAAGTAAGATTTATCATTTCCAAAGTTGAGCACATTTTCAGTGCTTTTATTTTTCTTTAGGGTAAGATAAACACTTGAGTTTCCTGCTATAATCAGTAGGGAAGACGGTCTGTGAAATGGAAGCCCGAGGCTCTTCCTGTCTAACAGGATAAAGATAGCTTCAGTCAGCCATATTTCCGATAGAGATGCAATATCCCTCTTCTTCTATTCATTCGTTTTGACACCCATCTCCTCCACCACAGACCCTGCCAGTGCCCAGTCATTCTGCTCTGTTCCCAAACTGCTGTCTTATCAGAGCTGTAAGTGGGAGATCTCCCCTCCAAATATAACGGGTTTACATTTTAATGAGAAGTGGAACAGTGGTCTTGAAAGAAGAGCTTGACTGGCAGCTTTATCTTTGATTGGCACAGGAAGGAATAGTGCTGCTAATATGTACTAATCTATTGTGTCCTACTCTTCCACCTCCTTTTCCGTTTCTCCTCCCCTCATCCTCTGCTTCTCTGTCCTTGATTCCCTGTCTCCAGTCCCTCTGCAGAAAAGTGGGGAGGTTTTTGCTGACAGAGATGTTACCAGGCTTGTCTTATGGGGAAAGTAGGGGGGGTTGATGAGAAGTCTGGGTGTATTGTCGCTCTGTGTCCGGATTGGCAGCAATGTAAATTCTCTTATCTCTTGCCTCCAAACAGCAGGAGAGGGAGTAAGCTATTTCTGTATCTTCTCATTCTCAAGCCATTTCCAAAGTCATTCCTAAACCTATTCCCAGCTCCAGCTCTGGTTATTGTTAGTCATGAGAACCTGGTAGGATTAACTGGCAGTTTAGAGTCACATTGGATTGGCTCTAAGCAAATAAAATATGACAAGGTGTGTACTTACACTAATGTTACATTTACAGTGTCAGTGTAATATGCAATGGTGAAAACAGTCTGATGATCAAACGAAACCAGACTGAACTCATTTGATTTCAACACAGTCAAGTGGATACATATACATGTATCAGAATGCCTCAGCAAAGGTTCTTACTTTCCATGTGTTACATCCTGACTGGTCTTCTATACAAACCCATAGCCCAGACGTTACTTATCAAATCTTACTTCTTTTAATGACTCAATTATGTCTTTCTAATCTGTCTGTTCTAATTTCTTATTTCTTATTAAACTCTGGACTGAAAAGTGACTCTGACTGAAGAGATGTGTTAAGTGATTAGAGTTCATTTCAGACTTGCCCTAATTATGCTTCATTGTCTGAGAGAAAGCTTCTACCTTTTGACACAGTGTTGAAAATATGGACTCATGAAGAGCATAAGGATGTGTATGGCTGTCTTAAGCTGTTAACCACCAATGCACTTCAGCCTATTTTTTTTTGGAAAAAGGTCTTCTTTCCTTTTCTTCTCTGTAATATATCTTAGTTCTGTGAGATATTAGCTTTCGGTCTCTAGACGTATGCAGTGGAAGATGTAGAAATCATATGATTGCATTTCTCCATGACAGGTTCTGTTCCAAAATGTTATTTCTCATCTCATAGCTCAAAACCCAGCGGGTTACAGTTGTAGGATTGACCCACTTTCTGTGCTTGTAAATGATGAATTCAAAACTTCTCAACTCTGAGCCTTTTGAAGTCGAACGATTAACAGCAAGCCCCTGGCTACACTGAACTCCACTTCACACCAGTTGAATTTTTTTGGTGGTTTTCTGTTAAAGTAGCCCTGCCTCTTCTAAACATGATAGTGGTTCATCAAGCAATTGTGGTACATTCCTCTGTTCTGTGATCTGCTTTAATTGAAGGTCCAAACCTTCAAGTCTTTTTTTGTAACATATATATCTTTTGTTTAGATGGAACGTTTATGAACTAAGGTATAGAAAATGTGTTGTGGTGATGTGTGGTCCATTTTAGGGTGTTTAACAATACAGTATGTTGCATTATCCTAGCATCAGTATCTGCGGGAAGGTCAATGTGCAACCATACAAAGTACAGAAAAAATGCTTCATGGTGATTTAGAAAAGGAGTCTATGTTAGCAGATCACAGCTGAACAGATGTTGTGTGCAATCAGTTGAGAACAATAATACGGTCATTGCTCGGTTGTAAAACATGCTGCCTCTGGTGCATTTCTTTGCCGCAACTCTTTGATAATCAGGGTTCATTGACACTGGGTTAAATTTTTTAGGAAGAAACAAAAACGTATGGAAATCTAAATGGTACAGTTGGAGTTAAATATGCTGGTATTTTTATGAGAGGAAGTGTTGGGATTATTTTTAACCATCATATACATGAGATGGGAGAGTTAAAGGACTAGTTTGTCAGATTTAGTGGCATCTTGCAGTTAACTTGGAGATTAAAAAACTTAATACCACTCCCCTTCCAAGCAGTGCTGCATACAAAAGTGTATGGTAAGTCTTTGCTTTGTATGATTTCCACTGGGCCGTGACTGTGTCCAGCTCAGCAATGGACAGCTCTGAGAGCTCTACTAGCTGTTATTGATTCTGTGGCAGTCACTGCATATAACAACTTCCATTATGAACCGCACGCAGCATAGACTTAACAGATTTCCATCTCTGGGACATCTGAGGCAGATTCATCATATTGTGGCGGGGAGTGTGTCGGGGGTCAGAAGTCAACTTGTTAACCCCTTGCAGCTTGTGTGGCTGCCAGCCTGCGCCAACTCGTTTATATCTGTCGGCCCTTATCACGTGAGCTCAGACACATGATTAATGTCTCTCGATGAATGGCCCACACATCATGATCATGCTTCCTTCACCATAATCTTTGTGCGGTGGTTTGTGTGCCATTACAGAAACTTCGGGTAAATTATTTCTGTAGTGACAGCTTTCTCTTGTCAACTTGTGTACTACTAAAGGCTCAGGAGGGCAAGTATAGCATTCTCACATTAATTTAGAATATATTTCACAGTACACATTGTTATGTTGTCTTGTGATTGTTTTAAAGACACTTAAAGATAATAACATCTATCTTACAACACTTACAAGACTTATCATTTGCAGGATTACATCCTAGTGTAACACCTCAATTCTCAAAGCACCACATACATTTCAAGGTTTTTCCTGCTGATTTTTTTACAGCTGTGAGTGAAGGTGATGAGAGTGACATCCTGACAGACAGAGCAAGATATATCTGTCTGTCAGCTGATAACTTCATCTAGCCAGACCCCTATTGACTTTTACTGGACCTTGAAGAGAATTGTCTGGGTTAGCACACCCCTTTAGTACCCACTATGCAGTACACACACTCACACACACGTTAGCAGAGGACCCCTGAGTTGAGCTGCCAGGTTTATGGCGAAGTTGATCACTGGCTGGGGGCGAAGCACAAATCTAAGAAATATAGATGGAGCAATCCAAATTTGACATTAAAAGGTACTGTAGGGATGGTGGACTGTGTGTGTGTGTGTG